ATTTTGTTCCCCAGTTTCTGTTCTTTTAAGAAAAGAGCCCCGGTGCCAGCAGATGGCGTGGTGTTGGGGGCACTGGACTCCCACATGGCCGACCATGGTTCTAGTCCTGGACCTGGTGGCTTGCTTTCTTTCTTTCTCTCTCTCTCTTTCTGTTTCTCTCTGGTAAAATTAAAATAAATAAATAATTCTTTAAAAAAGAAAAGAAAAACCACAGAACCCCAAATGAACTCTGGATATGTAAGATATAAATAATTCTTTAAAAAAGAAAAGAAAAGAACCCCAAATAAACTCTGGATATGTAAGATGCCACTAAAAAATGTCCCATCTCAGATTCTCTGGGCCAGGGATACCATAGACTTTCTCCAAACGAAGACTTTCCCCCCAGCTTTCAATTTTTGAAAGTTTCAGGTGAAAGTTAAAATCTGCTCTAATGGGACTGGTAGGTGGCATAGTAGTTAAGGTGCTGGACTCCCACATGACTGACCATGGTTTGAATCCCAGGTCTGGTAGCTTGAAAATCACACTGGGCACCCGTGCACATGTGCCGAAAACCCCAAGAGGAGAATGGAAGAGAGGGAACTGCAGCATGGCCATCCCCACAGGGGTGATTTCTTACTTTTCCTCTCACTGTCTCTCTCTAGCCAGCGCACGCACCCTATGGCAAAAACCTTAAAAACAACAAATCTGCCCTGGATGCAGGCATAAAGGCTCTGAGCTGGGAGGTGGTGAGGCTGGGTTCTGAACCCAGGACTGAAGAAGCAGTCATCACACCATTACACTATCTGCTGTTCCCCAGGAGTTACATTTTGGCTTCAGACCAAACAGGTTTAAGTAGAGAAGGAAGGCTCTCACTTGAATTATTTATCTCACCAACTAGAAATCAAAAGATTCTGGGATCAGCAGGTGGCGGGGAAGTTAAGGCACTGGACGCTCCCACATGGCTGACTATGGTTCAAGTCCTGAACCTGGTGGCTTGCTGTCTCACTTTCCCTCTCTCTCACTTTCCCTCTCTCCCTCTCTTGTTGTCTCTCTCTGATCAAATTAAAATAAATGAATAAATAAATTTAATTTTTAAAATCCTTTAAAAAGTATTTGTTAAAAAAAGAAGAAACCAATAGATAATCATCAATTCTTATCAACTAGGATGTGCAAGAATGAACAGGCAAGGTGCTTGGAGAAGCCAAATGAGATAAGAGAATGTTTATAACCATATTCTTTTTTTTTTTGGAGAGGTTTTTGCTATAGGGCACATGCGTTCGCCAGACAGACAGAGACAGATAGAGAGACAGAAAGCAAGAAATCAACCCCCAGGGGGGATGGCCACGCCGCACAGGGGGGATGGCCACGCCGCAATCCCTTCTCCTTCATTCTCCTCTCAGGATCTTGGGCATGCATGCACTCGTGCCCGGCGTGAGTTTAAGCCACCGGGTCCGGGACTTGAGCCACGGTCGACTACATGGGAGTCCAGCGACATAGCCATTACGCTAACTGCTGGTCCCTATAACCATATCCTTCAGATCAAATGTTCATAGGTAAATTCTAAACCTTATGGGGTAAGGGAATCAAATAGTCATCTTCCTCACAGTGAATTTACTCATGGAAAAAACAAGCTATCCTATGTTCCAGCAAAGGCCTGGCTGGATGCTCATCCTTAATGGCCCTGAGTGGGCATCTAATTGTGGGGAAGCTTCTTCCAGCCCCTGGCTCTGACTTCTGACTGAGCTAATGGGAAGCCCCCTCAGATGTGACCTAAGAACAAATGACTGGGGATGCCATCTTTTCCCCCAGAGCAAAAAATGGTGACTATGACAGGGGCCTAGAGACTCTGGTCCACTCTTACCACCCAAGACCCCTTTATTACACCTCCTTCCTACAGGCCCTGTTGATTGAGACAGTCTGTCCATCAAGTTGTAATTATTACGTTGTCGAGAAAGTCATGAAGTATTTTTCTATGCAAAAATGTGTCATGACTTTCTCGACAACCCAATATTACAGAATATGTTTGCCTCTTGTTCAACAAAATTAACCAAACACCTAACGACCCTAATCAGTGAGAACCAAGTACCAGAGCGCGCTGACTGTTCAAACCAAAAGCCAGGGAGCCTCTACTAGAAAGTTATTTGTGCAGCCATTCTGCTGCTAAAGACAGGGCCTCCTACCTTTTCCTATTATTTGGGAAAAAGTGGAAGAAAGCCTGTGTATCTCTAAGGAGCCACCTAAATTGCAGGGATGGAAACTATTCATCTGGTCCAAGACTTTCATTTTTTAGGTGGGGAGAAAGAGTCCCGGAAGACTTAAGGCAGTTGCCAACGGTTACCGCTAAGCTGAGAAAGGTTAAGAATAATTTTCCTAGGCCAGCAGATGGCATGGTAGTTAAAGGTGCTGGATTCCCACATGGCCGACTGCGGTGTGAGTCCTAGACCTGGGGGCTTGCTTTCTCACTCCCTCCCACCCCCCCTGCCCTGCTCTGTGGTCAAATTAAAATAAATAGTCAAATAAAATAGTTCTTTTTAAAAAGATTTTCCCTTAAACATGGGTTGCTTTAGAACACAAAGGTGCACTTGTTTTCTTCAAGAGACAATACATAAACCAAGCTCATCAAATCAATGTTGGACATTAAGTGAAATTGGGATTCTATATAAAGAAAAATCCTGTAAAGAGCTCAGATAAAAGTCGTTCCCTCACTTACCTCCTTTGTAAATTCTAATTTGAGGTGTTTTCATACTTGAGAGCACACCTGTAATTGCACCTCACCCCTCAACAGTGCACCCTCTACTGAGTATGGCCTGTCAGGCAGGTATACAGTGCACAGAAATTATATTCTTCATTCCTCGCTCCTTCTTCCCTCCCTCTTACAGTCACGCCTGATCATGTCCCCGTGGAATCTGGTTGCATCACTTTCCTTGAAACCACAGCCCCAGAACTCCTGTGGACTTTGTCCTCCAGAGGCCTGGGGTGAAGGACTCAATTTGTTCCGCAGAATCTGGCAGGGTCCTTGTTCAGGGGTCTAGGGTGTCCAGTCCCTACTGTTTGCCGAGAAGTACGCTGAGGCCCAGGGAGAGGACAGGCACCTGATTAGAGAGGAACCCTTGAGGACACCTTATAATAAAGGAGGGGGCGGGTTTCTGACCAGTGATGGTGGTGACCGATTACACTAATACCTGGAAGAACAGAGGGTCTGGGTGGTCCCTCCCTTAGGGCACAGGGCCTTGTGTGCCAGCTATCTCCTTAGAATTGGCTCCAGGAATGTGGCCTCTCATTTGGGGGAGGGGAGAGGGTCTGTACTTAATCAATCAGTCAGTATACCCCTGACTCCAGCTGGGCAAACAGAGCATGTGAAGTAGGGGGGGGGTGGTCAACAGGTTCCCCAGAGAGGCTGGGGCACAGGACAAAGGACAGTTAGTATCATTGGTGGCCTGGCCCTCAAAGGTCGAGGTTGAGAGTTTATTATCTACTCTAGCTCCAGCTCCTGAGAGGCTGGGTCCTGTCTCCCAAAGATGAAAAGGAACGGTGTTCCTGACTCCTAAAAGAACAACCCTTCTCCCAAGCTGCTTTTCCTGGATTAAGGGCAAGAGAAATTAATGAGGACCTGAACCAGTGGCTAATTCAACACTAGGCATCTTGATTCCACATGGTAAAATCTTTCTCCTAAACTCAAGATCAATTCCCACCAGCCCTTTAGAAAAGACTCTCTTTAACATGTTAGGCAAACTCCCTTTTCTGCTCTATGTGGGGAGAGGAAAGCAAATCTGAGAATACTCTGGGGAAGAAGGCACACCTCCTGAAGAATGAGAGAAACTCAGAAGGCAGGGAAAGCTGGCCAGGGAGACCCTGCATGTTAACGTTGTTGAAATGGGTTGCCTCATCTGTAAAATGGGGATATATAATCTTTTTAGGCTGTAGAGAGATTAAAGGATAAAGTGCCTAGCAGGATGACTGGTGGAGTCAGCACGGAAGACCAACTCCCTTCCCCCTCCCCTCAATTCAGTCACTTTCCGTCATTCTACCAGGCTCCGGTAACTCAGTGAAACCACATGGTTTTCTGCTTTTCTGCCCAGGGCTGGCCACCTGACTAGTATCCCAGCAGCGAGATCTGGGCATGGAACTGGGCTGGGGAAGCCAGCAGGGGAAAGCCAACCAGGACCACTGGTGAGGGGGAGGCAGTCCTAGTAACAACAGGCTGCTCCCAAAGAATGAAAACAAGCCCCACCCCAGCCAGGAATGGCCCCAGTCAGAAGGGACCCGAGGGCCAGAAACCCCCTGGGGAGTTTCTATTGGAGGTGGGGTGTGGCGCTGAGTAAAGAAAGACAGGTTAGAGGTAGAAGTTTCCACACCTTCCTCGGAGAAGCCCCATAGAGACAGGGCCCCAGAGGTACTCAGGGCTGGGGGGTCACAGGGGTCCAGTAGCTCAGGCACTCCGAAGTCAAAGCAACAGTCTCAGAAGCATGTGCCCTGGCCATCCCTCAGCAACTACACTCACCTGAGAGCTCAACACCCAGCAAGGCCACAGGCCAATGTGCCTGCCATCAGGAGAACAGGCGTTTATAGGGCGCCTACTGTGTACCAGGCTACCCACACCCAGGCCCTGCCAGTTTCCACAAGGTTTGGCAAAACCTGCCTGTCCTGCTTGTTGGGACAAATTCCTGGGCAGGCAGCATGGCCTGCAGGTAAGACATGTGAGAGCTAGAAGAACAGCACCCTAGTTGTGTTCTTCCCCCGGAAGCAGGAACAGCAAGGGCAGACCCGGCCAGGGCATCTTTTGGAGGCTCTTCCAGGTGTGCCTGGGAAGGAAGGGGCGCCAGAGCTTCCTTCTGGGCACATCCCTGCCTTTACCATTTCCAGGGCAGGGATAGGCCAGCTCTGCTCAGGTATAGCCTACTCTGGCTTCTGGTGAAGGCATAAGTAAAGTCTGAGAAGATTCAGGGGGGCCTCGGCCCTTCCCCCAGGACCCCCAGGGGCCCGAAGAGGAGATGGGGAGGGGTACTCGCAAACCAACTCACCGAAAGGGGTCTCTGGAGGTGAAGTAAGCCGGTACCGACAAGTAACTCCCCATCTTCTTTCCACACCAGATAAACAGGCTCAGCTGCAAACCCGACCTGGAGTGCCGAGGGCTGGCTGCAGGCGGCCACCATGACAGGCCGGGACTCCCGGCACCTCTGGCTGTGGGCGGGCTGCCTGGCGCTCACCTCTCCCTCCGGAGTAGCCAGAGGAGTGTGAGGATTCCGGGCCAATTGCCCCCCAGCGGATTCCCGAAGGGGCTCATGGCTGGGCCGGCTCCTTCCTAGTCCCCGGCAGCTCGGGTAGCTCCTCGCAACTCCAGCAATAGCGCCTCTCGGAGGAGGCTATACACGCGCAGGCATTCTTGGGCAGGGGCCGGTGACTAGCTAAGAAAGAAGCGCTGCTGTCAAGTTAGCCTTCTTCTTCAGTCCCACCCCTGAGTGAGGGAGGGAGGGAGGAAGAGGAGGGGCTCCTCGCGGAACCGAGGTGTGTGGTTGGAGCAGCTGTTAGGAAACAGACCTTGCAGGCAAGGGGTGGAGCCGGGCTGGAGCGAGGCTGCAGGCAGGCGCCGTAGACAATAACTGGGACTAGCTCAGCGTCCATCCCCGAGCTCCGGCAATGGCAGAGCAGGAGAGAAAGCCAGCGAATCTGACCCCAAACGTCCCCAGCCTAAGAAGCTGCCTAAAGACCAGTCACTGCTCAGAGGTGAAGAAAATCACAGGATGCCCCCTCCAAGCACAGCCTTTGGCAGGAGAGGCAGGAGAGGCAGGTCTTCCCAGCCACCTCAGCTCTGGGCTGGCATCTGCTCTGTCCTGGCACTAGGACCCCCATTTATGCTCTCTCGCTGTCTAGCCTGAAGACAGCCCCAAAAGCTGGCCAATGGGGGCTGCCATCCACTCAAAGGGAGGGCTATGTTGCAGATGAGGTAACAAGGCCAAGAGTATTAAACTGACACCTGATGTGTCCATGTTGCAAGCACTGTATACACGCCCTTATTTCTCCAAGAGAAAAATTATTCACACCTCATAAACAAGGAAAGCGAGGTGCAGAGAAATTAGGCAATTCATTCGTAGTTAAAAAGCTAGGCAGTGGCAGGGCTGGGAATAAAATGTAGGCCCACATGACTCCAGAGCTTCAGCTCTCCTGTATCAGGTTTCATTCTGTCTCTGAAAGGGGTAATATCTCTCTCAAAGCCCTTCTGCAAGCAGACTGGAGCCCTGGACACCTGCCCGCTCCCATTCATTCATTCATTCATTCATTCCCAGAACGCCATCCATTGGCCCCCGTGAAAAGTGGTGCTTTGTCCACTGTTCATTGGTAACTGTCTTTTTTGAACTGGAAAATTAAGCAATATGGAGACGGCCTCAGGTGCCTAGAGAGATTTGGGACCTAGGTATATGGTATGGGGCTCCCCTAAAGAGCTCAGCTGTGAGGATGAACAGACCAGTGCCTGCCATGTGAAAGCCCCTTGTCGCCCTGGCTACAGGACTGTGAGGTGAAAAGCAAGGCTAACGACTCGAGAACACTCAGCCCACTGCTGGACTTGCGGCTCTCTCCCACCAGGCACACACCCCTTTCCACTGCAGAGTCAGAAGTCACCTTGTGGGTGCCGTCTCTCATTGTGATCTGTGGTAGGAAAGTCTGGGACAACGGTAGTGGCTGGGTCACAAGAGAGCACAGGGACAATGAATTCCTCCAACTGGGCACAGGGACAACAATGAATGTGGTGGGGTAAAGGATTTGCATCCTGTTAATAAACTACCACTTAGGGGCTGGCAGGTGGCATAGTGGTTAAGGCACTGGACTCCCACATGGCTGACTGCAGTTTGAGTCCCAGACCTGGTGGCTTGCTTTCTCCCTCTTCCACTCTCTCTGGTCAAATTGAGTAATAATAATAATTTAAAAATTAATTAATTAAAATAAGCTATCTCTTTTTTTTTTTTTTCTCTCTCTCCCTCTGGTGAGTACATGTGCCCTACAGCAAGTTAAAAAATAGTAATAATAGGGGCTGGCTGGTGGCATGGTAGGTTAAGGCGGCTGGACTCCCATGTGGGTGACCGTGGTTCGAGTCCCAGACCTGGGACTTGCTTTCTTACTTTCTTTCTTTCTCCTTGTCTCTCTCTGATCAACTTAAAAAAAAAAAGACAATGAATAAAATTAAATAATTCTTTTTTTTGGGGGGGGGAGAGGTTTTTGCTATAGGGTGCGTGTGTTCGCCAAACAGACATAGAGAGACAGAGAGATAGAAAGCGAGAAATCACCCCCTGGGGGATGGCCATGCCGCAATCCCTTCTCCTCCATTCTCCTCTTAGTATCTTGGGCACCCACGCACACGCACCCAGCGTGAGTTTAAGCCACCAGGTCCGGGATTTGAACTGCAGTCAGCTACGTGGGAGTCCAGCGACATAGCCATTACGCTAACTGCTGGTCCAAAATTAAATAATTCTTAAAAAATAATAAAAATAAATAATTTTTTAAAAAGCTATCATTTATTGAGTTCATAGTATGTTCCAGGTTCTGTTTAAATAAGTATTTTTTAAAAAGTCTATTATCTATCATTTAAGTTGCCAGAAAAGGGTAGGCGTTATCATTCCCATTTAACAGATGAGGAAACCACAGTTCTCAGGAGTTATATCATTAGCCTGAAGACAAACAACTGGTGAATGATGAGGAGGGGTTTCAAATCCAGTATGACTCCAGAGCAGGGACCAATATACTTTTTCAGTCAAGTGCCACAGAACAGCTATGTTAGGCCAAACAGACTCAGTCACAGCTCTCCAACCACATAGTGCAAAAACAGCCATTAAAACAAATCAGAACACAAGCGAATGGATGTGGCTGTGATGCAATAAAACTATTTGTGAACTTTGAAATTTGAATTTCATATAATTTTCATGTGGCAAAATATTTTGTTGCTTTCTTTCCCCAACTATTTAAAAATGTAAAAATCACAGGTTAGACAAAAAGAGGCAATAGGCCACAGTTTGCTGATCCCTGTTCTAGAGCCACAGAGTTCACCACTGTTTACTGCCTCTAGTACCTTTCGGGATGTGTAGAAATAGCAGCCATATCTATCTCCTGCCACATAGACACCACCTTCCAGCCTCAAAGGCAGCCATGAGGGTGACAGTACTAGATGGATGTTTACATCCAACACCGAACACTACTTGCATTACATATATGAATGAATTTTATCTATTTATCTATTTTAAGGCAAAGTCTTACGGTATCACATACAACCATGTCTGGTCTTTAGGTTGAACGGGCATTGAACCTGGAGCTCCCATGTGGTCCCAGCCTGCAGAACACTGTCTTAGTAGCACACACCACTACATCTGAGTCCAAGTATGAATGAATTTTAACCCACACTATCCAGTAGTGCTGTGATTTCCATTTCTTTACACATGAAGGATTCAAAGTACAAGGAGGTTCAATTGCTTGCCTGAGGTCACCCAGCTGTGTAACTGAGAAGTGAAGCCAGGATTTGAATCTAGACAGTATAGACTGTGCTCTACCATGCTATATGGGAGCCCAGCCTGGGCCCTGAGCCAGACTGTCTGGGTTTAAATGCGACAATGCAGTGCACGTAAGCCCTTGGCACAGAGTCTGGAACACATTAAGAGTTGATAAATGTTAACTGTTAATATCATTAAGACTATTGTTGTTACAATTACTATGGGCTAGCTATGTAGCCTTTAGCAAGTTGTTGTCTCTGTCTGGGTCTTGGTTAGCTCTCTAAATAATTGTAATATTTTTCAGCCCTGCAAGGTTGCAGAGGACTCACCATTTTCCTTGGGCCTCAAGTTGAAGTTAAACCTCTTGAGCTGGCTCTGACGTGACTAGGATCCCGGCCTGGGGGCCACATAGGATCCATAGAGAAGACGGAGGGGGAGACAACACACAGGATACTGACAAGGTTGCCCAGCTGGAGAGCTAAGAGCTCTCTTTCTCCAAACCACAGAGCCAACTATTTCTCACCAAAAACCTATTATGTTCCCCTGTAATTTGATCAGGCAAGAAGGGGGCCCTCAATTAAGTCTGGAACTAGCAAATTATCTTCTAATTGCACCCTCCGATTTCCATCTGATGAACAGAGTGCGGATAGAAGAAAACACAAGCCACAAAGAGATTGGGGCCAGGAGCCCATGAGCATAACTCCTCTTGACATTTCACACAGCTCTGCTGTTCCAGCGGCTGGCGGGCGCAGTGAGTCGGTGTCTAGGAATGCGAGCAGAAGGCTGCAGGCATCCTCCTCTCCCCCCACTCCCCTTACAAAGGACTCGGTGGGTGGGTGGATGGATGGGGAACCAGTAAGACTTCTCAATGCCACGAAGACTGTCTCCCCCTGGAAGTGGGGCAGCCATTTCCCCATGTCCTGAGCTGAAGCAGAAGCCCCTCCCAGGTGGAATCTTTGACCCCCATAAATCCAGACTTCAGGAGGGAACCTTTGAAGGATTGATCACCAGATGTGATAAGCTGCTGGCTGCTCAAACGGAAGTGAGCGGTTCTTCAGGCCCAACTTCAAAGGGCCCAAACCACCCACAAATGGGAGGTGAAAAGTCACACTGGAAGACATATTTCTACCTCCTGCCCTGGAAACTGGTCCCGGATGGAAAGTTGCTCTTCTAGGTCCCCAAAGTAGCTGGCAGAAGCTTCAGTAGTTGTAGCTGCCAGAAGCAACTACGGGGATCCCTGGACTGGCAGTTATGATCTGGATGAAATGGCAAGAGAGGTGCTAATCTGCACATTTCACAAGTTGGAAACCTGACAGGGAGCTGAGCAAACTGACTCCTCAGAACCAGCAGAGACACGGGGCTTCATCTGTGTCTGCGGTAGGCTGGAGAACGATGGCCCTCGAAGGCAAGGAGTACTGAATGAATCACTGTAATCTCGCCTCAGATCAAGGCTCTGGTCAAATAATCCAAAACCATGGAACTGAGTTGTGTGAGGCCCTCTATTGGACAGGAGGACTGCAACCATGGGAGGGAGCTCTGGGGACTTTGGAGCCTCTGACTCCTAAAATGTGAGCACTGTGTTACCCTCATCTTTCCTGCCTTTTCTCCTCCTCTCTTCCAGATCACTTTCCATATTATAGCAGCACTCATCTTTCTTTTCTTCCTTTTATTTATTTATTTATTTTATTTTTTCAAAGAGGTTTTCACTATAGGGTGAGTGAGCTCACTGGAGAGAGACAGTGAGAAGGAAAGTAAGAAATTACACTCCTCCCCTCCCCGGGAAGGATGGCCACTCTACAGTCCCTTCTCCTCCATTCTGCTCCTGGTATCTTGGGCATGCATGCACACGTAATACATGGTGTGATTTTCAAGCCACTAGGACTCGAACTGCAGTTGGCTATTTGGGAGTCCAGTGATGTAACCCCCACACCACCAGCTGCCCCCTCTCTTTAAAAAGGGAATTATTTATTATTA